GCGCCTGCTCTCCCGGAGCTGTGCTCGGTGCCTCTGCGCTCAAGCGCCCCCTCTTTGGCCCTTTGGGTCCATGCCTAGGGCCAGACGTGGATTGCGTTTGCCCCTCTTTCGGCTGAGGCATTGGCACGAACAGTTTGATGGGGCTTCCGTGAAACACGCTGCTCTGAACGCTCATACACGCTGCGGGAGGACACACAGACGTTCCCGGCTTCGCTTTCTCGCGCCGCGACACTTCGTAATTACCTGACAATGCGATATGGGGGTGTCCATTGTTCCCCTGCTTGTTATTGTGGAGTGTTTCTTATGACAGTGGTGGAACTTAAAATTACATATTTTTTAACTTACAAAAATAGAATGAATTCTGTGTGGGGATATGAGTTAGTTTTCCATTAAAATCTCAGCTTGGCCTGTCAAACGAAGCTCATTCTGGATATTACATTGCCTAATTTGCATTTTAGCGTTGTTTTGTTTCTTAAACGTCAAATTAGAGATATTTGGGAGCCTATTCCGGAGGGTTGATAACTCTACCTTGGATATTTTGCATTTTAGCATTATTTCGTTTTATAAACGCCAAATTACAAATACTTGGGAACGTACCCAAGAGAGCTGAGCAATTTCTCTCGCCTCTTCTATTCCTTATCTGGAGGAAGCGAGGGGAAGCTGCACTTCGCTCCTCGAGGCTCGGTGGATCCCAGGAGAGCCAGGAGGAAGCCAGAGTGAGCCACTGAACCAGGCTCCGCTCCTGCAGGGGGTCGGCGCGAAACTCTTGCCTCGAGAAATGTCAGAAAACCTGGGGCAGTTATCTGGGACGCCGAAAAGTCAAGAGAGGAGGATTGATGAGGCTTTAGGGAGCGCTCTGCGTACAGGCATTTACTATTCGAGATTTTTCTAGTAGCTTCTGGGAGGATACCCAGGTGTACACAGGTTTTGAGCCCCAGCCTTCTGGCCAGGTCTCGAAGCCAGCTGTTGCCCACAGCAGACCTAAGATGACCCACGCAGCAACGATGCCGGAAGGAGCACAAACCTGCTTGCGCTAACACTCCCCGGTTCCTGGGCATTACTGAGTGTGTGAGAGTGGGTGTATTTCTCAGTGAGAAATACCATCCTAATGCTCTTGCCAGGAGAGAGAGAAGAGGGAGTTTGGGGGAGTTTTCAGTTTGAATATCATCTAAAACATCTGATAAATAATATGTGGGTGGGAATTTGTTTTCTGTGTTTTGTCCTCTTGGTCTTTAATGAGAAGTAGTGAGAAAACTTTTTTTTGACTTTTGAATATTCTAGAACTGTAACATATGTTGTAAAGTGCACACAAAGAGAAGCTTTTTGTCTTTGGGGAAACATATTTAAGTCCCCTCTGTTTCCTTTGGTGCCAGAACCATTACAATTGATTCACTGTTGTTCAGCTGATATCAAATAACAAGTTATATACCCCAAGTCCTAAGATACAGTTTCACAAGAATAAAATAAACAGAAAAGGTGAACTGTAGCCCAGAATTATATTTGGAGGCAGCTATACTTCCTTTAAAGAAAAGTATTTACTCTACGATGGTTCAGGCATTTAATAAAAATAATGATATTAATCAGCCACCTATTTCTTCACAGGCACATGTCCTCCAGAAAACTAAGTTGAGAACGTTGTATTAGAATCCACAATGCATACTTTCAGCGATAGAATGAAAGCTCATAGAGTATGTGTGAGGAAACTTAGTCTAGAATTAACTTCAGAACTAATGGTTGTTACACCTTGTTAATGACAAAGGTGTAAGTTTCTTTACGTATACTGTAGATGAAGACAATTATAATGAGAGTTGTTGCTTTATGAATTTGGACATACCATGAGGCCAATAATGTTCCCTGGATAACTTCATACAGTCTATAAGAGTATAACCCTATGTAGATAGGAACAATCTCATACATTTCTCAGAAGAGCCACTCTTTTGCTACTATGACTTACCCTTATGCTCCCCAACCAGCAGTGCGCAAGCAAGTGCACATGCACGCGTGTGCACGCACACGCACACACACACACACACAGACACACACACACACAGCTCTGGACATAGAAAAAGTCTTCAATTTTCCCTTTACTATCCTACCACTCACCAAGATAGGTACAGGACTGACCTTTCATACATTCCTCAGGTATATTTTTATGACTTCATTTACTATTTAAGGTTACTCTTGAAATTCATTCTAGCCTGATTTACCTGGAAAATACATCGGAGAGGGGATGGGAAGTTTCCACGGTGATCTGCCTTTGGCCTTCAACCTCTAAATCTGTTTCTTTGTTACCTCCAAGAACATTTAACTCAGAGGCCCTGTCCTCATGCCTTGTAAGGAATTAATAAGTATTTGTTGATTGATTAATATAACATAGTAACAAACCTACAGAGACTTTCCTATATATTGTTTGAAATCAATGCTCATCTTGAACAAGCTTTGAAGTCTAATCAAATATAGGGCTAAAATATGCAGAATAATTACTATGCTGAAAACATAAGAATTATCTCATTTAATATTCACAAAATTCTATGAGGCAGCTTCTACTGTTATCCCCATTTCACAGATGAGGCAACTAAGACTTACACAAGCTAAGTTATTAAGTCACAAGCTGGTATAAGTATTAGGATTTGAACATATAACTTCTGTCACTCTAGATTTGGGGTTATGGACACTTTGCTAATGTGCTTTAATGAATTTTTTTAACAATTTGTATTTTATCTAATTTAAACCCACGTTTTTCACTTTTTGACATCTCTGAGACTGTGATGTATCTCATAATGAGTTCTTACAATTACGACAGCTTTTTTCCCCTCAGTGATATATAAAATAATAGCACATTTTCCAGTCAGTGGTATATTTGGTTATGTTGGGTTTCGCTGCAATAGCAAATCATCAGAAAATCTCTGGGACTCAGAACAACAAAGGTTTATAGTCCTTGCTCACACAAAGTCTGCTGAAGTTATGTGTGATTCTCCAGAGCAACTATCCTCCATGCGATGGCTTGGCATTGCATCTCCATACCAGCATTTGCTTCCACAGTTGCTACTACAGGGAAGATGGAACCCTGGAGGATCTCGCAACTAAATGCTCCAGCCTGGCTGAAATATATGTCACTTCTGCATCCAATCGATTGACTAGAATTAGTCATATGGCTCTGCCCAACCGCTAGGGAAGCTGGGAAGTTTACTCCTCCCATGTTTCCCAAAGGAGAAGAGAACTGAATATGGGTAAGCAGTTAACATTTGTACCACAAAGCCATCTTGATTCAATGAAATATGGTCATCAGGATCACTTATTGTAAAAATCAGGGATCTATTTTATTTAAAACCAGTGAGCAGCAATTGGCCTGGGATTTGTTGTATTCCACCTGAAACATACTTTCAAAGTTCATGCTCGTGTCTAATTTCAAAACACGAAATTCAGAATCAGTTTCAAAAAGAACATTATGAAACAGTATAACTATACTGCTGTAGTTTTAACCAGGTCTTTGGAAGCGCCTGAAATCGTACGCACAAAAAATTTATATACCAACAGCATTTTTTCTAGGGAATGGGTTCATATCTATCATCAGATTCTCAATTGGGATTCATAATTTATTCATTTATTTATTCAACAAACATGTATTGAGGTCACATTATATTCCAGGCACTGTTCTGGGTACGTGAGATCCAACAGCGAACATAACAGACAAGTTCCCAAATATCACAAAGTTTATAGTCTGCAGAGGGGACAATAAATAAGCAAACTAGTTACAAGGAAGGTCATTCTAGGTACAAAGAGGTGACATGAAAGAACAATATGGTAGAAACTGGCAAAGGGTGGGTATAAGGATTAGGGGTCTACTAAAATGATAATGAAAGACCTTTATGTGGAGAAATTTTACCTGAAACAGGAAAGATGAGAAGGAACTGCCTATGCAGAGATCTTAGAACTCTGGAGAAAAGTATTCTGGTAAAGGAACTGAAGAATGGATGCGCTCAGTATGTTTGAGAAATTGAAAGGTAGCTGGAGTATAAAGAATAAGGAGGGGAGTGGTAGGAGAAATAGTGAAGGAGGAATGCAAAGGCCAGATTATATGGGGCCTGTGGGCCATGGTAAGGGATCAGAATTTTAAGAGAAATGTGGACAAATGTACAGTGTAAAGAAACCTTCCTTTGCATGAGAAAGCCTAAGTTTCTTTCTGGCTTCACTATTTGTATGTGTGGATCATCTGGTCATCATTAGCTCTGCTATTAAACACTGAGTTAACCCAGCTAGGCACATCCCTGAGTGATTATTCCATTCTTTCTTTGCCCCCTTTGCCATGGTGTCAAGGTGAAGACCACAACCTTCCCAGAAGAATAGAGGCCTTCCTTCAGCTATAAGGATATAAGAAGCTCCCCAATTAGTCATGTCAAACAGACTCAAGTTTTTTTGCAAAAGAATAAGGGGCTTCATCTTTTCATGAGGTCTTACACAAGTCATTTTACTTTAGTCTTCATTTATGAAAAGAGAATAGTAAGTTACATTTCGGAGTGTTGTGTTAAGACCATATAATGTCCATTAAGGTGAACTAAATATAAAACTACAAATGTCTATATGCAAATGTGTATTATCTGGTCTTCTGAGGATCATTATTGCTTTACAATAGCCTGACTTTATATTGCCGACCTTAAAAATAAAAGTTACTTTATCAGCAAACATGGGTTTATTCAGGAATAGCAGAGAATTGCAATTCAGGACATGCAAGCTATGGTGAAACCATAGGCAAGTACACAGAACAAAGGAGAAGAACTTCCTTTTATAGAGGAAAGGAGAAAGTGGGAGGAGCTGCTTATCAACAAAGAGTCCATTGGAGAAATCTGAGAATTGGAAGTGTAGTGGCTTTTCATTGGCTGGGTTGTGACAGTCTCTTATTGACTGTCGGGGAAGGAGAAAACTTTCCTCCTACCACGGTAGTAGAGTAGAAAACATCTTGTTGCAGATGCAAGGCACACCTCTTCCTATTTGGGAAAACGGACGATGAGTGGTAGGGCATGAGAGGTCCCCCTACAGGCCCTCCCATCTCCAGTCTTGGTCGAGGTCTCCTTTACTGAGTTTCACAATAATACAGATGTGTGTCAACTTGAGGAAAGCTGATACATGAGGAATAACAACCTACATAATAAAAATGCTCTTCATTTTCAAAATAATGTACACCAGGATTCCTTTTAATAGTGATTTGCTAGAATGTGATATAATTTATAAAAATGAGATTGTCATATACACATTCAAAAACATTTCAGCTGTAGCCATTGAAGCAAGCATACTGATACCTGTAAATTTAAGGAAAGGTCAATTTGAGTTCTAATTTTTAATTCTTATCCATTGAAGCACCGATCAAACCTCAGTATTTATTTATCTCAAGCACCTCTATGCTCAAAAACTAAAAGTTAAGCTCAACTATCAATGTGTATGTTGAAATATAACAGTTTTAGGTGTAGAAATCCTGTGGAAATAAATGAAGACCACCCAAATAAGAACAAACAAAGGCTTTTTTAGAGAGAGGAAGTCAGCCACCATCACTTGCATTTGGCAAAGACTCAAAGGCGAGCATGAGAGTAGAAAAGCTTTATAGTGAAAAAAAATGAAAAGGCTTCAGGTGTACTCTAATGGGAGGTTGTTGGCATGGAGAAGCTGAAGGAAGGCCAACCAGAACATGGGCTGACTAGAAGCAGGGCATCATGTGTGATCAGTTTGGGGAGCATATTTGGCTTTCTCTAGTTGGTCCTGAGTTGGAAGGTGGTGGTGGTGAGGAACTGAAAAGCTGGCAGTCATTGACCAGTCCTAACCATTCTGGAAGATTGTGGTATAGAAGGTGGTTTGACTTCTCTGGTTTGTTGCTGCAGAAGTAATGGGTCAGAGTTCTGTTGTCTTATATGATCTGGCCATTGTCTATTTGTACAGTTTGTCTCTCAATGAGAAATTAATTTAGGTCGGACAACTGAGAAGAAACTAAATTGAGATGTAAGGCAGCTTCTATTTGTGGTCAGGTAATATTTTGATGTATTAAGAAGTGTTTTGTTTCGTTATGCTTGCTAATTCCTTTCTATCTCATGCACTCATTCATTCAAACTAGACTTTAGAATCCATTGCTGCAGGGTAAGAATATTATAAAAGAAATTCACAGAAAAATATGAATCATCCATGACTTTTGAGATTTAAAGTGAACTTGTGAAATTCAAGGCAGGAAAAGTAGTTTGAGAGAAAGCTCTTTTTGAGTTTCAAAAGTCTAGATTTTGAGTATCAAGACCTGATGACCTGAAAGATTTAGATTATAAAGTTTATGTTGTAAAAGGCAGATTAGGGAAAAAATGGTAAGCCAAAGGATGTTTTCCCAATCCAGAAAAAGATCATAATTCTGTGTGGTTGGGAGAAAGAAGGAGCAAAGGAGCTTAGACGATGGAGAAGCTTCACTGTAGATTCCTAACCAGAACAACTGGAACATTTTCTATGTTTGAGGGAATCTGAAGGCAGTGGGCAGAGAGCAGAGGTGACTCCTGCTTCCCTTCTAAGATGGAGCCTGGAACAGCCCTGAGCCTTATAGGACAAAATAGCCCAGCACTGCGCATGCAAGCACAGCGGTATGAAGTGGGGGCAGGTACAGCGGTATGAAGGAGCCTGGGCGGACGGTCCTGAGGTGTCCATAAATACTCTCCACTCACCATAATGTGTGTGTGCTTCACGTGTGGCTAAGAGTGGAGCAAGCATGGCTCTGAGACTGCAAAATTGGAGTAGTCCCACACCCAAAACGTTTGATTAGCAACTTCACAAAGACTTCCATCTCAAAGGATCCTAGCTGGAGAGGCGACTCTGGCTGAGGAGTAAATGCCACCTACCCACCCACCCGCCCACCTGCCATGTAGATGCCAGCTGAGTGAGAATAGTGTAGGGAGTGGGCATAAGAGAGGACCAGATCAACTGAGATGTGGTTTCATTTCCACTGCCCGGTATAGTAGTCTTGTAAAACAGATTGAGTTCAGTTATAAAGAATAAAGAACATTGTAGCAAATACCTGAGATTTTTACACAGATACTTATAGCTCACACATATATTTACCCTATACCTCAAATTTGCTTTTAAGCAATTAAAAAATGGAGTTTTCTAACTTCTAAAGTAAATTTGAGGCATTATGTGCCTAATTATCTAATATTTAAATAGTAGTTCTCAAAGGAAACTAGTTTGGGGTAGTTATGGCCTTACTATCTTAATAAGACCAACTTAAACACAGAACGTTTTCAGCAATTAGTCAAAATTTTGGTAAATATAAAATTTACCTTACCATCTGAGTTATCTTGAATTGTCATTGCCTTCCTTGATGATATCTATTGATGAAATCGGAACTCTTTCTTTGATTTATATATATACTAATATAGACTTACAATAATATATTTCCTTCAGATAAATAATCAAGTGCCATTAAAATTATTAGAACTCCAAGAATTCTATGTTGAGCAATATCATCGACTATTATGTATTGAATGCCTGCTATAAGCCAAGTGTTTTACACATTATGCCTTTTATTTCTCACAACTTAGGAGGGTGAGGCTAAGCGCAGGGTCACACTAGGAAGTGGCCAATTCAGGATAAAAATCCTCACTCCGCCAACTTCCAGACAGGTGAGGTATGCCTTCATCTACATGTGGCTGTTATGGATATTAAAATAGCCATAACAAAATGCTCAACATTTCAAATGTAACATACTACATTTTAATATTCTCAAAGCAAATATGGTATTCAGTAAATGCTCACAGAGAATTGATATCTATGTTTTGACCCACCTCCTTTGAGAAACATTACTTGTAGTAAGAATCATTTTTCTTTCACAGAAAATTTGTCTCCAATGTGCTGTTGGGCCATACGTTGTCTCTTTATTACATCCCAGAGGGAGAAAGTTAAGTGGAAAAGATTCTGCAGTTTAACTATGAGAGGACATTATACATTTCAGTAGAAGAAAAAAATTCATCAAAAGGTAAGTAGATAAATTAAGAATTCTATAATAAGTCTTGGGATATAGGCTGTGTATTTCTTTGCTTGTTTTTTAATTTCATTCAAGCTACTAAATTTGTATACCAGATGCTGAAGAAAGACTCTTGCGACGACTCAGTTTTACCCTTTCCATCTGAAGTCAGTCGGTCTTTGGTGCAGCTTATCTCCTTTTGAGGGCCTGGAATTGAGGGAGAGCTGGCAAGGACAGAAGGAAGAGAAAAGATCCAGGTACAGTGACTGGAAGCTGCACCACCCAAGAAAGTCTCAGGATACACAACAGGGGAAGGCACTGAAGTCCTAAGCTGGAAAACAAAGCAAAACAAAACAAAGGCCCAGCATGGGAAAAGATGAAATGCAATACTGAACACAGAGTACATACTGAGGCATCTTTTTATATGGTGAATGGTAGAGTTTTGTGGCCTGAATTCATAGACAATAACATAGAATTTAATAATACAAAAGCTACTATTTATTGAATGCTTCTTGGACCAGGGACCATGCTAAGTACTTTACAGAGATTGTTTTACTCAGTCCTCATACAACCATTGGTTTTGGTCTCATTTCACAGATGAGGAAATGGAGGGTTGAAAAGATTAAGCATTCACCCAGTAAGTAGGCCAGCAGTCTGACTCCAGAGTCTAGAACACTCTCTGCCACCTTATAGTGCCAATGTATTGGTGAGGGTTCTTATTCGCAAGCAACAAAAACGAACTCTAAAGGAGAAAAATGCTGGAGGAAAGAGGCCTCATAGATCCGAAGAGACTGAGAGAACAGCCTTGGAAAACAGGCAGGGATCCAAGGCTTCAAGGGGCCAGACCACAGGAAGACTATGCAAGATGCCGCCATCTCTGCTTCTGCTGCGCCACCGCTGGACATCATGCTGACCTCATCAGCTGCCCCAGATGCTCTTCCTTCATCTCTGGGTGCACAGGCCTGGGTGGGAGGGTTCACTGCCAGGTGTTGGGGACCCTACTCCACATTCCAGGATGTGGGGAGAGTGAGAGTCAAACTGTTTGGAAAACATGCTCCTACATCCCAAGATCACACTCAGTGATGTAAGGACAGATGGATTTGGACAGGCAAAAGAATGTACAATGCCCTCCCAGATTACCTACTGTAGCCACTTTGTAGCAAATCATTCCATTAGGAAAGTAAATGTAGGTCTGTTAAAATAATTTTGAAAGGTCAGGCAAGGTGGATTTGTGCAAATATTAAATAATGCAGATCAAAACCTGATTGGCCTAGAAATTCATCCTAATAGTGTTATTTGCAATCTCTAAATGCAAACTTTGAAAAGACAAATTTGGTGACCCATATGCTAAACATTAATTAATTAGAATGTTTAGGGAATGGAATGTTCTTATTAACTTAAATTTCTAACTAAATGTGATTAAGGCTTTTAAAAAATCCATAAACCTTTATATTTCAGATCTTGTCACTAGAATTCTTAATAAAATATTTGGCTTGTGAAGGCTTTGAAAAGCCTCAGAATTATTAATGCCAGAATTATTAATGTAGTTGTGAAGTATAATGGGTATAGACTGCTGAATGTGTGCAGATTCCTAGGGTATGTGTTCCATGTACATTTCATTAACTGACTTCTGACATAATTTTGCCTTTTATTTTCTCCATTACATAAAAATTGGGTAATGAGGAGGAAATAAACTCTTTCCATGCGGATGTTGTATTTGCAGCCCACTAAAGCGAAGCACACTGCTAGGCACTGTAAACATGAGCATAAATAATAAAGGCATTTTAAAAGTGAGGCAGGAATTGAGATAATGGAATGACTAAATCTGAATGAGGGATAGAGGCAGCATCCATCTGAGCTGGGCTTAAGGATGATGAGGAGGATATTGTCAGATGAGGGTGGGAGAAGAAGGAGCACCGTAGACAGAAAGAACAATCTGAAGCAAGGGGCCAAGATGTGAAAGTACAAATAGAGTTAAGAGAAGAGAGAATGAGTTGATGGGCCTAGGGTGAGTGTGTTAAAGGGGGCTATGAGGTTATTCCAAAGGTAGGATAAGACTCATTGCCAGTGGTCTCAAACACCATCCTAAAGGAGCGTGGGCTTTTTCTGGGAGTTCTAGGAAGCCACTGAGTCTTTTTTAAGATGGAGGCAGTAAGATCATCAATGTGGAAAAGGAAGACCACTTTGATAACAGGTGAAAGGCAGAAGAGACCAGAGGTAGGAAGTTAGATAAGAGATGTTTGCAATAGTCTAAGCGGTAATAAATGATGACTTAGATTAGTGCAGTAGCGATTGGGAGAAATTCTTTCTCTCTAAGATTTACCTTAGTGACAGGATACATAGGAATTGATATCTGATTAAACGTGATGGAGGTAGGGGGTTATGTGAAAAAATGAATGTTTGGATAATAGGGCCCATTGCCTAGTAAACATCTCCTTTTACAAAAACAAGAACAATAATCATTGCATTTCTAATTAGTTCATTGAATAATTGGAGCAGTAGATTCCAGTTTTGATAGATTATCTCTCCATCCTAGACCTAGTAAAGTAGATTGTCTGGAAGTGAAGACCAGTAATCTATATTTTTAAAGCTCACCAAATACTCTGATGATCTGTCAATTTGAGAAAGCACTGCAGCTGAAAATGTGAAAAGGAAGTGATACCCAGTAACATTAGATTCAGCAATATTTATCTTCTCAAGTCTTGTCAAATCCTTCTCTCCCTCTGAAACATATCCTGAATCTCACTACTTCTAATTCCACTGCACCCAACCTAATCTTAGGCCCATTTATTGATTGCCAAAACTAAGTAATTGCCACCTACCTGAGCTCCATGCTTCTACTCTCACCCCTGTGCAATCCATTCTCTACAAAGTGACCAAATCAATTCTTTAAAAATGTAAAACAGACTTTGCACACTCTTGCTTAAAGTGTTCCAGTGAATTCCTGTCATACTGTGGTGGTTTAAAGCCTGATTCCCCTTCCCTTGATTATGAGCTATACTTAGTGATTCACTTCTAAGAAATAGAATGTGACCAAACTGATGGTGTGTGATGTCCAAGATTAGAACATAAAAGACATTGTGGTTTCCTTCGTGCTCTTTTTTCTTGGATCACTTGGTTGGGGGAAGCCAGCTACTAGGTCATGACGACTTTCAAGCAGCTCTATGGAGAGGTCTGTATGGCAAAGAACTGAAATTCCCTGCCAATAGCCAGCAAGGAACTGAGACCTTTTGCCAATAGCCATGGGAATGAACCATCTTGTCAGGAGAGACTCTAGCCTCAGTAAAGCCTTCAGATGACTGTAGCCATAGTCAATGTCTTGACTCCAATTACCTGAGTATTCCTGAACCAGAACGACCTAGCTATGCGGCTCCCAAATTCCTGACCCTCAGAAACTCTGAGGTAATAAATGTTGGCTTTAAGCACCTTCATTTGGGGGGAAATCTATAAAGCAACAATAGATAAGTAATACACATACTTATAATATAATACAAACTCTTTGTCATGGCCAGCAATACCCTACATACTCAGTATTCTGCCTATATTAATAACTTTATTTATCACTCATTTTGTGGAAAAGACTATTAGTTATCATTAACAACTATCTGTCTCCTCTTTGTTTAGAAAGTCACCAAAGTTTATCCAGCTACATGAATTCAAACTAATGACCTTACTTCCTAGCCTCTTTCACAGCTAAATATGGTTATATGACAAATTCTGACCAATAGGATATGAGCAGAATGATGTGTATAACTTCCAGTATGTCCTTTAAATGGAAAGAATATGTCTTCTCTTTTCCTTCCCCCTCATTCTTGCTGACTGGAATATCAGTATGGTGATAAAAAGATGGAAGCTGGACCAGCCATCTCAAGCAACAAGATGGAAGTCGTATGGTGACCATGGCAAAACAACAAGATAGAAAGGACTCAGATCCCTGATACCATTGAAACAGGGCTGTCTCTCTTGTCTTTTACATGAGCAAGACATAGGGCTCTATTTTGTTTAAGTCATTGTATTTTTGGGTCTCTATTACAACAGCCCATCTACACCTTAGCTAACACTCGGCAACTTATTCACCACATCCAACTCGTTCACCACGTTGGTCGTCTTTCTTCTCTTCTGCTACCCTGAAGTCTTTGTCTTTGCTATTCTCTCCTCTTGAAATGCTTTTCCCCTAGGTCTCTTCATGGCTGACTCCTTGCTATCAGATTTCGCTGTGCCACCTAAAATACTCTCCCCTCAGTTATTCTATATTACTTAATCATGAAGAGTTCTATTCCTTTTTTTAAAACCATTTTTGTGGTTTATTGGCTGTCTGCTTTGCTATACAGTGATGAGTTCTATTCTTCATGACACTCATCAGCACCTAAAATTTTCTCATTTATGTTTATTGTCTGTCACTCTCCACTGGAATAAAATCTCCATAAGATCAAGAACTTTGCCTTATTTCTTGCTGAATCTCCAGTGCCCAGAAAGTGCTTCTACATAGGTACTCTCTTAGTATCCATTGTGTGAGTAAATAAACAAATGAATTAATAATGATACCAAGAACCTACTCCTTAGGTCACTTTTCATAATTCAGCCTCGTTTATCTGCTGAAATTAGGATAAATTAGGTAACAATAATGACTTAGGATTAACAAAAGAGTGTCAAAGAGTCTCTTTTACCTCCATTATTAACTGCTCTGATTTAATGAGGAAAAAGAAACATGGAAATGAATTTCAACTTTGGGCATTTAAAACCTAACTAAAAGAAATTTTTTTAAAGCTCATGAAAATATTATGCCTAAAGAACAGATTCTCTTAAATCTTAATGTAGATTATTGCATTACACTGACTCTAAGATGCCAACTATTATAAGACATGCCATTGTTTTTTGTACCCTGAAAAAAGAAAAAATGCTGCTGTTTTATATTGTGTTATTGTTCCCAATTTCTGCTCCTACTGCCTCTATCCAGGCTCATGGTGGGTGGAGCAACATCTCTCCACTCCATTGTCAAGTTGGCCACATGACTTGCTTTGGCCAATTGAATGTGAGCGGACATGCAAAGGCCATATCCAGGCAGCTTTAAATGTGCTTGTGAGGTTAAATTAAGCTTTTGCTCCTTCCTTACATCATGAGATGGTGGTAGAATAGTCTTGGATTGTGCCTTGTTCTTCCTCCTGGATTCTAAAACATGTGTAGCTGTGTAGAGATAAGCCAAGCCCAGTTAAATCAACCATAGCAAAGGCCAGTGGAGCCATCTTATATCATGTGAACAAGAAATAGTGTCACTGAGATATTGATAATAACAACAACAGCCATGACAAACTACATGCCACCAATTAATTTCAGAGATATTAAAATGTAAACAGAAGCATGTCTTAGAATAAGTAAAATACGGCATGTATTATATACGTTATATATCAGCACAAGATATATAGCAGGTGCTCGATAAATGTTTGTTGACTTGACATTATGTACATTATAATGTGGAGTCCATATTTTTAATGAGAGTCTTCTTGATAAATATATTTTTTAAGAATACCATATGTAACAGTATAATCTCAGGTATTAACTGTAATGGAAACTAAACTTTATATAACAAGCAAAGTTCAAAACTAAGAAAAAGATAAGCTGTGACTTTTCATTATCTCTCGTCTGTCTCCACCTCTCTATTACCTCAAATAAATTTTTTTGACTTATACCCCAAAGTACTTCGTCTTCTATCTGTCCCCTTTCATAGCCCATACAGCTAGATATTAGTCTATTATTTGGGGGGATCACCAGAGCAAAAATGGAGTTCAGTAGCCACTGGCATAAACATAAGACAAAATATTTGGATGCATGCTTATGTAACAAGTTTTTCACATATACTCCCAAACTGGATAAGAGGCTGAATAGGCAAAGGAGGGAAGGGAGTAGAACCACATATGCCACAAGCAGTATTAGAGAGATGTCAGCATTTGCCAGATGAAGTACCATTTATTTTCAATACCAGGGGCAGTGTGGAAGACATCTTGGAGCATTGCTCACTGTATTTGGTCTAACACTAAATTATAAATTAATCGTAATATATAACTTGGATATATTTACCCAGAAAAAAAATAGTAAAAATAGTGATGACAATGATGATGCCCGTGATGATGATGGTAATAATAACAATGTAATAGTAAATGTTAATTGAGCAGAGCTCTGAGTATATGCCTAGCACTAAGCTAAATGATTTACATAAATTATTTTATTTGCTCTTCACAATAATATTATGTGTTAGCTATTCCTGAAATAATGCTTTGTAACAAGCCACCCAAAAGCCCAATAACATACAGCAATAGGCATATTATCTTTCTCATCAGTCTGCAGGCCAACTGTGGTTTGGGTGATCTAGGCTGAGCTCTGCTGCATGGCTGTGATTTAGGCTGTGAATGGGGAGACTTGGCTCCAGGGTGTGTGTTGGGTTCTGATACGCTCCATGTCTTGTCATTCTGAGAGGAACACTACCTGGGGCGTTTTCTTCACATGGTAATGGGA